AACATTCCTCGGATAATATACCTCCTCCATCCCGAAACTATGCCCATGGGCTTGACTTTAGACTTACTTAGGTAATCGAAAAATGCAGCTATAACTCCTAGTGAAAGTTCGAAATCATCATCATCATCACCATCATGGTCCTTTGAGTTAGGCAAAGAGGGGTTGACGCCCTGGCGAAAACGCTGGGCGATTTGTAAAATCGATTTTAAGCTAATATCACGGTCACCTGGGGAGACAAAAAAAGACATTGAGAAGAGCTTCATTTCAATGATCGAGTTCCTCGAGGAAAGAAGTTATTAAAAATATCACATGGGACTTTATGATGCAATCGAAATTATGAGATGGTGAAATGCCAGGCGAATCGTTACTGAAGCCCAGGCCAATTCAAGTTTGTCTCCATGTATTAAAGGGATAGTTTCACGAATGTACCCCACGCAATTCCACCGTGTATAAAACAATCAGAAGCGAGCAGATAACTCGTGCATCCGATTCAAGCCAAATCATGATCAAATTTGATGTACCGGACGGAATTCGACATTTTCTGTGAAAATCCTTAGACATCTTCAGTGATTTTTGGACGTCAGTCATTCTGCGTCAGTCACTCTTTCCGTGAGGCATCCGGTAAGGACGTTAAGAGGCCAAACATTTCTGAAACGCAGAATCTCCCTTCGGTAAGACCCCAGTCTCATCGATTGGGAAAGAATACCTTACGGTAACACCTCAAACTCTTGAAACACCCCTCCGAATATGACCCCACTAAAAGGCCTTGTCAAGAATACACCAAAGCCGAGGATTTATCATCGCAATTTTACCATATAACACAGAAATTAGCGTTCGTATAAGTACCAACAATGGTAAAAACTTTACTGTTAACGTGGTGGCTATACTTCATACTAAACAAGGGCTCTCAAACAAACCATTACGCTTGTTTCTGAATTTGTGTTCGTTAAACAGCGTTAAGGTATTTGAAACACATGTAGACAATGATTCATTACCAGGAAAAAAAGAAAGCGAAAATTTGAGGAATCTTTTTCGCGCACAACAGACAAATGGCGTGTAAACAAGAAGTGTACTTTCAGTTTACAAAAAAAACTACACTGAAGATCTCCAAACATACATCAATCGTTCATAATAACTCAAGCCAAACATACCTTCCACTACGCTGTTTGGTTGATTTCCACTTCCTTGGCTGATCTCTGTAAAAGAAATAAGCAGACACAGGACAAAAGTTGCAACAAGCGTGTTAGACGCCAACATTTTGCCTGAATACGTCTTTAACAAGTTACCAGACGAAGTTTTCCTTAGACTGAAGAACAACACGTACAGCTCTATATAAACACCAATCTGATATAGGCCCTGCCCATATGCTAGTCAAACTGACCATAGCAAGAAGATTGGTTACTTACAGAATAAGAGTGATATTACTAGATCAACATCAAGATTCACTGAGCCGAGAAACACTGAGATTTACAAAAGTATATTTAGATACAGGGTAGCTATGAATACATGAAAGAGACTAAAAATGAACGAAGTTCGCAAAAACATACGTTAAGATGTCAAAATTTAAGATCAATAATATCATAATTAGATATATCTGGCTACGAAACAGAAAATAGGTTTGTGTGTTTCTAACGAGTCTTAGTAACCACTTGGCTGTGTACTTTAGCAAATCCGCGAATCTGATTGGTTTAACCATCGTTTTCTATTCGCTGATGCACAACTCTTGCGCCGGCTGCTCTTAAAACTGAAAATTACTCTTAATTTTTGGGCTTAAAATGACACAAATTTTAGTTTTTGTGTTGTAATCCGGCTTTAGAGTGTCTACTAAAACAATTAGACTACTCGCCCTCGTTTTCTATGAGTGATAGTTAAATCGTCGACTACGCCTCATTGACTTTTCGCTCAAAGAAAACTCGGACTCATAGTCTAATTGTTAAATAGAAACACGTGTGGACAGTTTGGCATCGAGAAATGCTGTGTTTCCACAGCTTTTCTGAGTTCTCCCAAGCTTTCATTAGTGTTTCTATAACTCAAGAGAGAAGCAGTAAAGATTACACTAGAGAAAATTGTTTTCCTTTTATTTACAAAAACACTGCGAGAGGAAGAAGGGGAGATTACTTTTTTACTTCTACTATCAAACGTAAAGTTTCTTTGGTTACCCCCATCATTACGTCACCAGCTTGTGCTAGATCTTGTAGTTATAATGTCTACAGAATAGCTGTTATTGCAGTTGAGTCTGCGGTCAAATACTCTTTTGTTTTAAAAGGCATGCAAACGAGGTGAAAGGGTCAATACAAAGCAGAATTGACCCTTTCGCCTTGTTTGTGTATCAACCCGCTGATAACCGCAAGAACAGCTATTGTGGCCTTCTGCTCCAGTTTTTTATTGGACGGGTTTATTTTAAAAAGCATAATATAAACAAACTAAAGGCTAAGACTACTTTGTGTTCATCAAGATGCATAAAACGCACAAACAACATTCGAAAGATATTATAAATTTACCTCTTTGAACTCAGCCTCTGCCAATATTAAGGTTCTTACATCAAGACATGTCAAATCATCAAGAACGTGAAGATTGCTATAAATGTACAAAGTTTGCCATAAATGAATCAAGTTGCATGACATGGAAGAAACGTAAATTGAATATTAAAGAAATATTAGTGATATTATGTTGAACTACGGTGATACAACACATCATTTTCTTCTGAATAGTGCATTATTTGTAGCTTGGTTCAACATACTGTAAAATTATAATTATAGCCCTCCCGAAAATATGTCATCTCAACCTCCACGGCAAACACCAAAACCTTCTGACATTATTACCATCGAACATATTTAGCTCTCTTTTAAGTGCTAAAAAATAAAGAGAAACTTAAAGAAAACTATACCTTTTTCAGTCTGATCATAATCTCTACCTTTATAAAGTTTGTTTGGAAGATGAGTTGGTCAGTGTTACGTCGGTCAGTGTTGGCTTTGTGTCGTTATATTAAGCTGCGTCTTACCATTCCGCATTCTTGTGCATTTGAAGTTTTGAAAACAGCATTCCTTCCAAATATAAAGCTCACCAAGAAAGCTTTTTGTGTAAACCCAGGTCTCATTTTCGGCACTCTCATTTATTTGCACCATTTACAAATCTTGCACTAATTAAATTACGATCTCACCAAGAAAAAAATAAAGAATGAAAAAAGGGAAAATGTAAAATTAAATTAAGATGTGCTCAGTGACCAAAGTAGCTAAAAAATTGAAGGAGATCTGAAATTAATTGTTTACCAAGACAGAAAAACACCACAGAGATACTTTTCATCCATAAAGGAACAAGGATGGTAATTAAGAATGGGGAAGATCAATTCGGATTAATGAAGAACTTCAACAATTTCCTTAACTTTTCAAGATGCGCGCACCAAGACGTAGCTCGTTAATTTAAGCTTTCGAGTTTGTCACTCAAGCACACAAACGACTGACATATAATACTTTTTACAACAAAAGAATAGCAAATTAAAAGTGCAAAGTAAATATCAGATATAGTTATAATTAATGTACATGTCCGGATTTATGAAAACAGTGTTAAAGAAATCGCAACCTGCTCCAAAGGAGACGATATAAAAATTGAAAGGAACGTCAGTCTTTTTTCCCCTCCACTCTCTTATCTTCCTTTTCTAACTCTTCTCTAGCTATTTTTTTTTAACGCTTGGAGTGATTTTAAGGCCTTTAGGAGCCGTGGAATCAAAGTGCATATAGGTGATTTGGTACAAAGCATCAGTTGAGACGGTTTCAAACCGTCTCAACTGATGCTTTGTACCAAATCAGTCATATAATTATTGGCAAAGAATGTCCGAAACCAGGAAATGTCCTAGTTTGACTCCAAATGCTTTAGAAAGATCGCCAGCAATTCGACACGCTCATTGTTTGGCCTTTCAGTGTCATCCAGTCTTGTTCCGTTGAGATAATATTGGCACAGAATGTTCGAAACGATCAGGAAATGTCCTAGTTTGACTCCAGATACTTTAGAAAGATCGACAGCAATTCGACACACTCATTGTTTGGCCTTTCCGGGTCATCCAGTCTTGTTCCGTCGAGAACTATGTCTGAATTTATGAAAACCGTGTCAATATTTCTTTCAGCCAAATATTAATCACCGATATGCACTTTGATTCAACTACTCCTTTTGGCCTTTAAGTCACTCGAAGAGACGAAATAATAAAAAAAAAAAAATGGAGAGAAGGGCGAGACAAGAAAGATAAGAGAGTGGAGGAAAATAAAAAAAAGATTGACATTCCTATTCATCTTTATATCGTCTACTTTGGAGCAGGGTGCGATTTCTTTAACACTGTTTTCATCAATCCAGATTAATCTATTATCAAGAGATTATCAAGGTAAGTACCTCTCAGGTTTCCTTCAATTTAAAGGCAATTTTGTACGTGACCAGAATAACTTAGAATGTAGTGATTGAGCTCCTTTAAGCTACTTTGGCCACTGAGCACATCTTAATTTTACATGCACAGTATGTTGAACGAAGCTACAAAAAAAATACACTATTCAGAAGAAAATGATGTGTTGTATCACGTATGTTAACATTATATCACTGATATTTCATTTACAAATCTACCACATGCACCTTGGCTCGTTTAAAGAAACCTTTGAACATTTATAGCAATCGTCATGTATGTTTGCGAATCGTGATGAATTAAGTGGCAGTCTCTCTAAAAGCGGTTCACTGCATTTCGGGT